TGAAGATGTACTCCCAGCAGATGCTAACTTGCAGAATGCTAATGCACAAGAATCACATGAAATAGAATTAAGAAGATCCCAAAGGGAACGTAGGCCAGCTATTTCGAATGATTATGTGGTTTACCTGCAGGAGTCAGATTATGACATTGGAATCAATAAAGATACAGTTTCGTTTTCACAGGCCATAGAAAGTATAGAATCCGATAAATGGATTGAAGCTATGAAAGAAGAGCTAAAATTCATGGATCAGAATGATGTCTGGGATCTCGTCGAATTACCTGAAGGTTCCAAAAGAGTCGGTTGTAAGTGGGTCTTTAAAACGAAACGCGACTCTAATGGTAATATCGAACGATATAAAGCTAGACTTGTTGCCAAGGGTTATACTCAGAAAGATGGCATTGATTATAAAGAGACATTTTCACCTGTCTCGAAAAAGGATTCATTAAGGATAATTATGATTTCGAGCTACATCAAATGGATGTGAAAACTGTCTTTCTTAATGGTGACTTAGAGGAGGAAGTTTATATGGATCAACCTGAAGGTTTTTCCATGGAAAGTGAAAGAAAATTAGTGTGTAAACTCAAGAGGTCAATATATGAACTTAAGCAAGCATCACGACAATGGTATATCAAGTTCAATACCATTATTACATCTTTTGGATTTGAGGAAAACACTGTTGATCGGTGTATTTACCAGAAGATCAGTGGGAGTAAGTTTGTTTTCTAGTTCTTTATGTTGATGACATCTTACTTGCTGCAAATGATTTTAGTATATTGCGTGAGACTAAAGATTTTCTCTCAAAGAATTTTGAAATGAAAGATATGGGAAATGCGTCCTATGTGATTGGAATAGAAATATTTTGTGATCGATCACAAGAATGTTAGGACTATCTCAGAAAGGATATATTGAGAAAATTCTAGAGAGATTTAATAAGAGTAAATGCTCACCTGGGGTTGTTCCTGTACAGAAAGGTGATAAATTTAATCTCATGCAATGTCCAAAGAATGATGTTGAACGGAAAGAGATGGAATCAATTCCATATGTCTCTGTTGTGGGCAGCTTAATGTATGCTCAAATCCGTACTCGGCCGGATATCAGTTTTGCGGTCGGGACGTTGGGCAGATATCAAAGTAATCCAGGAATCGAACATTGGAAAGCTGCAAAGAAAGTTTTAAGGTACCTTCAAGGCACGAAGGATCACATGCTCGTGTACTAAAGGTCCAATGAATTAAAAGTCATTGAATATACTGATTCAGATTTTGGTAGATGTCTTGATAGTAGAAAGCCAACCTTTGGCTCCTTGTTTATGTTTGCCCAAGGAGCCATATCATGAAAAAATGCAAAACAGACTATCATTGCTTCATCCACTATGGAGGCAAAATTTATGGTATGTTTTCAAGCCACAACTCATGCATTATGGCTGCAGAACTTTATTTCAGGGCTTGTGGTTGTCGACACCATTAGCAAGTCGCTGAAAATTTACTGTGATAATTCTGCAGCAGTATTCTTCTCTAAGAACGAAAGATACTCTAAAGGTGCCAAACGTATAGAGTTAAAGTATTTTCCGTTAAAGAGGAGATTCAGAAACAGAGAGTGTCAATTATGCACATCAGAACTGAACACATGATGACAGACCCTTTGACGAAAGGGTTACAACCAAAGCTATTTAAAGAACATGTTGAAAGTGTGGGCCTTGGTTGTATTAAAGATTATTGATGTGTGACACTCTGAGCTCACCTATGTGTTTCTGACATACAATATGTTTCCTTGTTTTTTTATGGTTGTATACGCATTATGAATTTTGACAAGAAAGTCTTTGTAAGACATTACGTGGACCATTATGTTTCCTATATTATGAATTTTATGTGATGGATTGTTGGTGGTGTAGTATATAGAAGGGAATGTACTGAATTAATAGCGCACTACCACCATAACTCACACTTAACAATTTATCGTTTATGATGACTAACATTAGAGATGCATGTATATTAAGATTAATCGGGCCAAGTGGGAGAATGTTAGAAATATTAAGAATCAATTATAATATTAAAAGGATTTTATTATAATTATAATATTATGATTCTTGATATTACCCATTAAACGTTATATGACCCAATTAATTACTGATACACTTAATCTCAATCATTGATTTGATTTGGTATATGATGGACTTACCAGATTATGAGTTATGGAATATATATATATATATATATGAGGAATGGTCCTCTCTTCCCTTCAACCCTAATGCCATTCTCTCCATCAAAATACATATCAAAGTAAAGAAGGCTTAGAGAGAGAAATTATCCTAACACAATTGCTCACAAGATGATGACTGTTGTTAATCCTTCATCATTGTTTCCGGGTATGTCTTTATCTCTTATGTGTATAAGAAAATCATGTATTCCCAAGATCCTTTATCATGTTCTTATTTTATGATTTATGAACATGATATATTATGCAAACTAACATAGAACTCCTCTTTGACCTTTAAAAATCAGAAAATAAATGAAATAAACTTTAACATCACATATAACAAACTTTTTTTTCAATAATTAAAAAAAATATCGCACATACCATGTAAGTTTCAATTATATTTTATAATAAATACACAAAATTTGGTTCCTGTTGGGATCTCCCCCAACAGATGATTGAAGGAGAGAGGAATATAAAACTTGAAAGCTGCACAGGAATTTCTGCCCCCAAAGACTGCATGATGACATTTCATGTAACATCCCGGGTGCTGACGAGGGCAGGGAGTGATCGCCGGTGCGCAAGGGCACGGACAAGGAGCTGCTCCTGGCAGGCTTCCAGCGGCGGGGTACATGAATGAATCGAATAACACCGAAAAGATAGGGATTTCAGAGATTGTGCTGGTATAGGACAGCACAACTAAGGATAGCTTGTAAGAATTAATTGGTACTACCTATACTAACAAGATGCATCTACTTTTCGGTAGCCCAGAACGGAAGAACTCCATAGTTAAGCGTGCTTGACTTGACAATTCTGGGATGGGTGACCTCCTGGAAAGTTTTTCTTGGAATTGTGCGAGTGAGGACAAAGCACACTGAAAAGTCTCGTGTTAGTGTGTGGGGACAGTCATTAATCCTTGCAAGTTGTCAGGCGTTACATTTCAGAGAGCATTGTTTGAAAAGTTTTCTATTAAGTGTTTCTCTTCCGTAGTAGAAGATACAAAAGAGATACAAAAGAATTCCAGTTGCGCAACTCCATTTGCATCTGCTTCAATCTCTCTCTCGCTCTCACCTTGCTTAAAAATATATATTATTATTATTATTTTGTTGTTGTTGCCTTAAAACTATATATTTATTAATTTATTTAAAGGTCTTCTTATAAAAATAACTTGTTAAATAAGTATTTAGGTTAGAATAGAGTGCGAAAGTGAAATGGATTCACTTATGTGTTATTTGATATAATTATATTATGTGCAAGTAGTATTATTATTATTATTATTATTATTATTATTTTGGTGATATATATATGTGAGAAAAGATTTTAATCATCAATGAATAAATAACCGTAATGGTTTGTAACTTACTATCCCGATAATTTTTGGGTCTTTCTTTATTATCATTTATTCATCCTTATATGATTAGGATTTTTCCGTTACCATAATCATATTGAATAACACATGATAGAATCTATTAAAAAAAAGAAAAGTCAAGCTTAAGTCATTTGAAAAATAGATCAAGTCCATTTAATTTATCTCATTTCCACATGTAATATTGAATACAACGTGAAGAATTTACCTTTCTCAATTATAGAAGCAATGCTTAAAGACTAAAGAGAGTAATTTGGAGGTACACTATACTAATTAGAAAAAAGTTATACAGTTTGACAGTGAAATAGGTTTCTTATTTCAACCCTTAGATAATGAAAGTATATAAGTGCATTAATAATCATAAAAAAAATGTACATATGATCCAATAGTTACCTATCTATAATTAAGGAGGTCGTATATCTTTTCTGAACTGTACTTTGTATACTTTTTTGCCTTTTTTTTTTTCAATTTCTAAATTGATGAACTGCCATAATTTTAAGTCATTATTATCTTTCGTTGCGGTGCATTGAAAATATAAATATTAATTGTAACATAGATTGTAAACTAGGGTTCTTATTTGCGTATTTCAATAAGATGTGTATTGTTAGTGTAGCTCATATTGCATTGATGATTGTAAAATGATAGTTTATAATGTAAACAGCAAGTCTCTTTATTGAATGCTTCTCCAAACTGGAATTCTGCAAACTGAGGTCAAACCATTCCGGCAAAGCTTCAAGAATTTTGCTAAAGAGAAAGTGCTCTTGCTGATGTGTATTAGCAATGGCAAATGGAAGGGGGTTAGGGGTGGCCATCGCCCCTGGAATAATAAACAAAAAACAAAACACTTATATGCAGATGTGGAGGCAAATGGAGGGTGCCAAAGATTCTTATTTGTCACATATAGGATAACTATTGATATCTCCTTATTTTCTATAGACTTATATATCCATATAGAAAGCCATGATTTGTTACAGCATTTTGCACTATGTTGAAAATTATCCCTTGATTCTTAATCTTTATCAAAGTTTCTGGTTACTTTTGGCTGTATAGGCATGATCTCTTGCTGATGAAACATCAAACAAATATACTAGTTTGCATACAATTGCATGTCACTTTTCTTTGTGATGTTAATTTGTTTAAATAAAGTTAAATTATACTTTTTTTTAACCCAACCAAAATCTGAAGTAAATTTCAATTATCAGTCTTGTAATGCACATGTGTAGTATACCCTTCTCACAACAAAACATAAAATGATAGAACAATGAAACAACGTTAAAAACTTCTTAAAACTATGTAATGCTTTGATTTATCACTAGGCTACGCTTTGCTGACTCAACCTCACTAATGGATGAAGTCCTTATTGTGACACTGCTTATAAAAAAAGAAAGATAAAGACATACAAAAACCCCAAAAGTAGAAGTGTGTGCTAATTGCAGGAGCTAAATCAGTAAGGCTTCCACCTTAGAGTTCTATAACTCTTCCCTCTATGGTATTCATACACAAAATCAAGTTGAGGGATGATCCTATAAAGCAACTCATCTAGCTGTTTGGAATACCAAAGCCTCCATCTCTTCAAGAAAATAAGGGGGAAGATGAAAATTCCCAAGCCAAAAGTAAATCCCAACTCTGCACTTAAGAAATTCCAATTGATTGAACTCTTCGAATGGGAATGAGGTGTTTCAGATGCTGGTGGCAACAACCCCTTCCCTCCATCATTGCTGCAATTGTTGGTAAGTGGAGGTCCATATAACTTTTCATTCCCTTTAAAGGAATCTGCATCAAATGATTGAATTTGAGTACCCTTAGGAATTTCCCCCACAAGATGGTTAAAAGAGAGATTCAGATATTCAAGGAATGATAAACTTGCAAGTTCTATAGGAATTTCTCCATTCAAAGAATTGTTTGACAAGTCTAAAGACTCAAGATTCTTCAAATTTCCTAAAGATGATGGTATATGGCCCAAGAAGGCATTATGTGACAAGTTAAGAGCATTTAGTGCATTCAAATGCATGAGCTCATTTGGTATTGGCCCTTCAAAATAGTTGTTTGACATATCAATGTAAGTGAAGGACCTTTGAATTTTGACCAGTTTCATTTGCCGACCTTTGTTGACAATAGTAATTGAATCCTGATAACGACCAATATCCGCAGCATATTGGTAAGAAATTCCCTGGTCAAGGATAGAGGGAGACATATTTATAAGCTTAAGTAGTATTTCTGCAACATCTTTGTTCATCAGTGACAATATATACTCAAAACTCACAGGATTGAAGTTATCAACAACATCTAGAAATAAGTGGCCAACTTCATCATCATCGCGCATCATAGCTTTCCAACTGTTTAACAATGCTCCTGGTATTGAGCCACTGAAATTATTGGAGGCTAGATCAGCAATATGTAGCATCTCCCAATCACCACTGCTATTTGGACATCCAATAGAACCATGGAGTTTGTTTGACTTTAAATCCATGATTCTTATGGTGGAAATGTTATTCAAGAAACATGGAAATCTGTCAGATAATACATTCTTTCCAAGGTTTAGGACTTGTAATTTATGGCAATTGACCAAAGATTCGGGGATGGTACCATTCAAGAGATTGCCATTTAGATCCAACAACTGTAGAGCACATGAAGTTGGAAAAGTATCAGGAATATAACCTTGGAGTTTGTTTCCACCCAAATTTAACACCCTAAGAGTGCTACTCAATGTTGCAAAACACTTGGGAATCTTCCCAACAAAGTTATTGTAGGAAAGATCTAGAAGGTGAAGAGCTGTAGCATTGCAGAAAGATTCTGGGATTTGTCCTTGAAAACTGTTGTTTGAAAGATACAGTAGAAGTGCAAAAGGGAGGTGATTTCCAATGTCTGGTGGAATGACAGAGCTGAATCTGTTGCTTGAGTAGTCCAAATAATTTGCATACCTTGGTATGAAGGGAATAGGCCCTTGCAGTTGATTAGAACTAAGATCAAGGGTAAAAATGTTTGAACTTAAGTTCCAGAAACTTCCTTCCAAATTGGTGAAAAAGTTTTTGGAAAGATTCAAGGAAACAAGAAATTCAACTTGCCAAATCCATTCAGGTATTGGTCCTTCAATCTGGTTGTCAGAGAGGTCAAGAGATAGTAATGTAGACTGGTTGCTCAAGAAACTAGGGATTCCTCTCAGCTTGCAGGAAGACAACAACACATTTCTTAAATTAGGATAGGGTGAAAGGTCATGATCATCCCTAAAGTTTATATCAACTGACAAATTGTTATGTGAGAGATCCAGTCTAGTTAAATCACTTAGCCTTCGAATCATGTCCAATTGTATTGTGCCATTGAACTTGTTTGAAGAAAGTTGAATAACACTGAGTCTTCTAAGGTTAAAGACAGACACAGGAATAGGCCCTTGTAAATTATTGCTGCCTAAATCAATCATCTCTAATACTGAGGAAGATGCATTGTCAAACTCACTCAAAAAACCATTGAATTGATTATGGGGAAGCTGAAGTTCTCGCAAATATGGGAGTTTGAGTAAAGAAGAAGGAAGACTCCCACTGAAAAAGTTGAACCCCAAATCAATGCTGACAAGATTTATGAGGCTCTCGAAATGACTGGATGGTAACACCCCACTGAAATGATTATGGAAGAGGGATAAATATGTGAGGTTCTTGGACATATTGAAAGAAGGAAGTGAACCTGTGAAGTTATTAGAAGACAAGTCTAGATGAACAAGTTGGGTGAGTTCTGACATTGAACTGGGAAGTGTTCCATTGAATTGGCAGTAAGACAGATCAATTGTAGACAACTGCTTCAGATTGGAAATAGAATCTGGTAACTGTCCTGAGAAATTTGTATTGCTGAGGTTCAAATTGTAAAGAGAACCATGTGGTGAGAAGTTTGGCAAAGTACCACAAAGATCTTGATTGGCTGATATGTCAAGGACTTCTAATGTTGGTATTTTGAAGATACCCTTTGGAAAAGAACCACTTAAGCCACAACTTCTGAGCTGTAGTATGGCCAAATTGGAGAAATTTGCAAAGGAATCAGGCACTGTGCTTGACATATTGTTGTCGTTCAATTTTAGAACTGAGAGTGACCGAAGCTTAGCTAGTGAAGAATCAATAGGTCCAGACATATTGCATGATGACATGCTCAGAACACGTAACTCCTTCAATGAAGATAAAGCATGGCACCACTCTTCTCCCTTGGCAGATAATGCTACTCCATCTAGATACAGTTCTCTGATATCTGTAAGGTTTTGTACAAGCACTTCTATATTTGGCTTCTCAAGTTTAAGTCTGTGATGTGAGGTAAGTAATGAAGAAGACAAATCAAGAGTAACCAACCTTTTAAGGTGAGAAATCTCATTTGGAACCTGCCCCTCAAAGCCTGCCATAGACAAGTTCAGATACCTCACATTCTTCAGCTTGTGAAGTTCTGGAGGAATCACAGAACTCAACTCATTAAAAGCCAAATTCAAGCTCTCTAGATATTGAAGACTGAAAAGAGTGCTTGAATGAACAAGTCCTCCTGAGATAGACTCATGACTAAGGTCAAGAGCTATAACATGTCCCTCATTGCATGTAACACCAGGCCATAAGCAACAATCATCACTTTGATTCCAAAGAATCAGCTTTTGGGATTTTGTAGTGTTGAATATGAGGTTGTTTTTTAAATGGAGCAACATGGAACGTTGATGGCTAAGACAGGAGCCATTTGCAACAAAGATGTTATTGGTGATGGAATTTATTAAGCAGAAAGGTATCAAGAAAAGAAGCAAGACTATGTGTACCCTCATTGTGAATTATGAGAAATGTGTGTGTTTAATGGCTTGAGAAATGGTGGAGAGTTATTTTGTCATTAAACTGCTCTTATAGACTACAAGCTTCGACTCTTGAGCAACTGAGTCTAGCACACAATTGAGTCTTCTCGGGACCGCAGGGTCAAGCCATCAAAGCTTAGATCCCAAATTCTAAGGCCTCATAATACTGACTTTGGAATTCTAAATTCAAAATATGTAACAGCAACCTCCAATACATAACTTTACGTATTAAATACGGGTGAATGGTCAGAGTAATACATTTTAAAAAAAATAAATTATCAAAGTAATATAGTTCAAAATTATTTATCAAAATGATATCATTTAATAAATTTTGATGAACTCCACAAACATAACACGTCATCCTCATGTGACTTACACATGTCACGTTGAAGGATCCATATGCTTTTTAAAAAAATAAATAAACTGTATTACTTTGATAAAGCTCGGCATGTAATACGTAACCATATGGCCTACTTTGATTCAGCCTTTCCAATCAGCAATATTCTTGAATTATACATATTACATTTGTTTAGTGTCTAATTAATGTGTTTTTCTAAAAAAAAAAAAAAATTATCACCTTTTCGTCTTCAACTTGTCAACCATGATAAATGAGCATAATTCAATAGTAATAATAACTTAAATGTAAAAAAAATTATTAAACGCTGCCAGCGTATCATAAGCTAATAGAGTTAAAACCACTTTCTTTGAATGAGAATAACCATCTAAGCTCGTCACCCCATTCTGTTGGTACGCTCCTCTCTCAATCGAGTACCCCAACTCGTCTCCTAGCCAATTATCAGGCTAGTTCGAGCACAATTCGGCTCTGATACTACTATTAGGCCGTGCAGGGAGAGCTCATGGCGGAGAGAGACTGTCAATCATGGGCCAAGTGAGCAGCAATATTAAGTGGGCTCGGAACACCACAATCAAACCCAAAACCTTAAGGTATTAGGTGCATGGGTTCTGGTGCTCACTTAGTTCATTCTTAACCAATGTGGGACTTTTTTTTCACTCAATCCACATTCTTTCTTCGAGTATTTATGGGGTTCCTTATCAAGGCTTGGCTATCCATCAAGACTTTGGCTTCTCATATCAAGACATACTCGGATCACCACAGGCCAATCTAGGGGTGGCAATTTGGGTTGACCCGCCCCGCCCCGCCACCAACCCGCCAAAAACGGGGCGGGGCGGGTTGACCCGCCAAAAAATATGGATTGTAAAAATGAACCCACCCCGTTTTATGGTGGGTTGGCGGGTCAACCCACCAACCCGCCAATTGAAAAAAATTTAATTAAAATTTAAAAATAAATTATATTTTATGAATTTTTTTAATATTATTCTATTTTATTTCACATTTCTCAATATTTTTTTTAGTCTCAATCTTAAATGTATACTAATATTTGTCAAACATTCTTTAGGAATTTATAAATAGATAACATTTATCATAAATAAAATTGTTATTCTTTATTTTTTCTAGAAAGTACTAAGATAAAAAAAAATTGAATATCACAAAAATTTAAGTACTAATGAAATACTACCTAATTGTAAAAAAATAAATAAAAAATAAATAAAAAATTTTAAAACCCGGCGGGTTGAACCCGTTTTGACCCACTTCTAGACGGGGCGGGTTGAGGTGGGTTGGTGGGTTGAAAATCTTAACTCAACCCGCCCCGTTTTGGCGGGTTGACCCGTTGGGCTCAACCCATATTGCCACCCCTAGGCCAATCCACCATTAGCTTTGATACCAATGTTGGGCGGGTCCAGGGGAAGCCCGTGGCGGGGGGCCACCACCAATAGGCTAAAGCTACACCAACCGTAGCAAGTGGATCCGACACATGTCTCAACTCAAAACCTTAAGACATTGGGTTCATGCAGGGGCGAACGCACGTTTATGCCTGTGTCTGCACTTGCAGACACAAAAGTTTGAGAATATTTTTTTTATTTAAAAAGTGAGTGATTTAGGTCAAGTAAAAAAAAAAGATTTAAGAAAATTAAAAAGAAAAAAGTAAACATAGGTCCAACCATGGTAGTTAAAATCGAGATCTTGCCTAAAATCAGAAGGAAGATAAGATATCGTAAAACATAAAATCCTAACGTAAAAGAAATCATCAAATCGTAAAAGTGTTTGAAATTTTGATGAAATCGTTTTGATTAAAAAAAATCGCAAAATCACAAATTTAAATCGAGATTTTAACTAAGATGGGTCTAACCCAACCCAACCCCTATTGTAACATCTTACTTGACTCTTGATTATTATTTTTTTATGTTAAGTTAAAAGTTTATTTAAAAAAAAATCTTCAGGCGCGCTGCCCCCGAACCGCCGCTCTAAGTGTGCAGATATAAAAAAAAATTTTGGGTCCGCCACTAGGTTCATGGGTCCCTTCCACTTATATACTCTTCATTTAGCTTATTACCAACCAATGTGGGACTTATCACACTTGAATATTCCAACAAAACATTGAAGTGCTATTTCGTGGATTTCTTACAATTTGGTTATTTGGCCAAAAAAATCAAGAACTATGAAATTTTCAACATGTCCGTCTTGCACGGTGATAGAGTAAACATAATTCCAAAAACCACATTTTCTTGGATTCAAAAGGAACATTACTAAAGGAGACTGGACTTGTGAACCATTAGCGAGAATCAACAAAGGTCAAACGCTCCCATATATCTTTCACTTTCGATCAGCATCTTTAAGCTTAGAATTAGTCTTTGGCATAGAAAAGAAAGAAGAAAAAAATTAAAAAGTATTTTCTTGCATCATAGTGAAGAAAGAAACATGACAAACTTCATCTTTTCCATAAAAAAAAGTTCCTTCTCATAGTCCATTTGGTGTAGATTGACATTATTGGTGTTAACAGTTAACACATTTCTTGATTGTCGAAATGGATTCAAATTTATGGAAAATGCTTTAGAGGCAAAATTTACTTAGGTGATCTCTATTTTTAGAAAAGATTAGTCTTCGAATGTCAGATGGGGATATGTTGAGCAAACTCAAAAATAAAATTCATTAATTCCATTAACAATTATTTATTTTTGTATCCGTTACTATTATTAATTTGATTTTAATGAGTGTCCACTATGTGGTTGGGATTATTATATTCAATTATGGGATAGGATATTATGACAACCAAATAATGTTATTACCATATATATATATGTGTGTGTAAAATCATACCTCTAGTTAGTTACTAGAGGTCTAGCAATAGATCTTACACCGTTGATTGGTTATGATTTTTCGCATTTAATGCTCTCATCAACCTTTTTATGGTTATAATTTTCCGAATTTATTTGTTGGACGTCAAGCGGCTGGAAAAAAGTAATATGTAAAGAATCTTGAGATACACCACCCCAAAAGCTAGCTCAGAGGGTGGGAGTGCCCAAGGCCTTATAAACTCCACATTAGTTGCACATACAATCAATGTAGGACTATATATCTCAACACGTACCCTCACACGAGAGCCCATTGGGCTTGAAGAGTGGATGATGCAACAGGCCCAGCCTACCTGTGCTAAGAAATTCCACAAGAGAAAGTAGGGTGGGCGGCGAGACTCTGATATCATGTTAAGAACCTTGGGATACACCACCCCAAAAGCTAGGAGTGCCCAAGGCCTTATAAACTCTACATTAGTTGCTCATACAATCAATGTGGAACTATATATCTCAACATATATATATTATTTTCTCCAGCCGCTTGTCGTTAAGCAATGACAGTTGTATGGATATAATTTCTCACATTTAATGTTGTCACCTATATATATGGTAAATAATTGACCATTGGACATCAAGCGGCCGGAGAAATACAAATCCCATATTTTCTTTTGTAACCTTACTTTTCCAAATTTTTTAATTTTAAGTTTACTCTTTAAAATTGGGGAAGTATCAATTTACGTTGAAATATAAATTTAAAACGTCTTGATATATATTCTTAGTCGTTAATCCAATTGCTTCTCTAATTTACAATTCATGTGAATCACTAAATGCAAGTGGGATCAATGACTAATAATAAATATAAAACTTTTTATTATTAGAAGGTTATAAGGTATTTTAGACTTACGTACGCTTTGATAAATGGTAGATTGATTCTTTCCTTTCATTAGATGCAAATGAAATTAACGATTAATAATAAGTATAAGACATTTTTAACTAACATAGATATAAGTTGAACCTTTTTCATTTTGGTTCTTTTCATACTGTTTCGAGAAGTTTTACAATTTTCATGTTTAAGCACATGTTGAATATGATTGATAACCTATGATGCTAGAATGTTAAGGTTGTGAGCACCACCGATATCGACATGGGATATGATATGATATTCTGACACGTTAATTTAAAAAATTGTTAAATTTTGATATATTAATTAGAATATATTTTGATATTAAATAATATTTTTAATTTATATAGTGTATATTATATATAGGGGTAGATTATTTTTACAAATTTTTTGTTTACAGACTCTTACAAACTACACTATGTACTATAGGTAGTACATGCTCAAATAATATGTATTACGCATAGTATATAGTGTAATTTATAAGAGTCTGTAAATAAAAAAGTCGTAAATATAACTTACTCTCATATATAATATGTCTACCAAAAAAAATATTATATGTAAATATTTAATATTATATTTTCAAATTAAAAATATCTTATACATTTTAACGAGATTTATTCGATATTTATTTTTAATTTTTATTATATCAGTTTGGTAAAATATCGATCAATTTTTTTATGATATGTAATAAAATTTTAAATATTATAAATGTCGAAGCGTGTCAGAGTATCATAGTATCAACAAATGTCGGACACAACACTTTAATTTTTTTGAAATTATAAGCCAAGTCAAATCAGTTTAAATATTAGGACAGGTTGACAGCGCAGCTTTTCTCACTGAAACAATTTTTTAATATATTTGTTTAAAGTTGATTAATTCATTCATAGTTTTAACTTTAAATTTGGCATTACCGACTATATTA